TGCTTGATCTATTTTGATCCCATGTGTATTCATAAAAAATATTAAATAAAAGAATTAATATTTTTTATATTATAGGTAATAATTTTATCTCTTACATATATAAAAAAAAATCTAGAGTCATGTAAAGAGAAAAGAGAAAAAAAATAAAAAATAAACATAATCTCCTAAATAAATTAGATTTTTTTTTAATATTATACTATTTCTCATATTTTAGTACATTAAACGAATTTTAAAAGTAATACTGTACGCTTTGCTATTATGTTTTTATTAAATTGAATATAATATACTACTTTAGAAGTGGACAACAATTTCAGGCACAAGCAATAGAGTCAAGCCAGCAAACGAATCCTGGGAATCAATGAGAAGAGTGCACGTGGACCCGACGATGGGTGAGGCAAAAGTTTAGCGTACACGCATTGGTATCGTATGATGCCATTTTGCATCCGACGGTCCAGCTGTCATCCAATTCCACTTCCACCACCAATTTTATTTCTCTCATTTTCTACCTGTCTCCCCTCGAATTGCTTTCAGAATGGAGAATATTTTCTAGTTGATAATTAAAAGAAGAAAAAAAGTACACAAGATCTTGTATTGTTTTATGGATTTATATGGAAGATGTGTTCGTTCATATAGTTTTTTTTTTAATGTGAAATATTGCTCTTTCACAATTGATACTTGGGCAAATATAGGACATGAACTAAATAAAGTATTTTGAAAATACCTATATATTAAATTGAGATAGGATATTATTTGAGAGCCATTAGATAAAAAAAGATTAATGGTATCGCATGCTTCAAATCAGAGTCATTAATCTTTTTTATCTAATGACTCTCAGATGAAGTGTCAAATTTAAAATTTGACACTGATATCAAAAGATCTTACCTCTATTAAATTTATAAGAATCTGCCTTGTTTGGATATTACAAACCCAATTGATTCTTAGATTACGATTTTTTTTTTTAAATAATTGCAATATTTTATGTGAATATTTGGATAGGATAAATATAGTAATTTTTACACCCCAAGAGTATTATGGATGGGGAAGGATATTGTGAAAACTAAGTTGTATTACTACCAAGTGACTACCAATCAATCTTACCGTTAGATCGATTATGTTGATCCAACGGTTATATTTATTTCCATCTTTGTATGGTCATGATTCCCCATATTTAAAGTGAAAGCATTAAATATGGAAAATCATAACCATACAAAGGTGAAAATAAATATAAAGTATTAAATTTGGAAAATCATGATCATACAAAGCTGAAAATAAATACAACCGTTAGATCAATATAATCGATCTAACGGTAAGATTGATTGGTAGTCACTTGGTAGTAACACAACTTGGTTGTCACAATATCCTTCCCCGTTATAAATAGCAAAATCAAAGTGTATTGATAAAAGAAGGTTTTTTAAGAGATTATAACTTTCATGGATCTCTACTTAAAGCTGCTAAAAAACCGAAGCAATTTCTTGCACTTCCGGGTAACGCAAAATAAGTTTGAGTTTCTTGTAATAATAATAACACTAATATATATTTACAAATTTTTCCTTTATAAATTATAAATTATATTATGTATTGTAAGTAGTACATACTACTTGAATATATATTATTCATAATATATAGTATAATTTGTATAAAAATTTTGTAAATATAATCAATTCTTAATAATAATAATAAGGGGAATACAAGTATCATGTTGTAGAAAACTTGTTATCTCATATCATAGATATAAAATATATAATACTTATCTTTTAAAAAAAAATAAAAAGATATTAACATAATTTTTGATATAAGAATAAAAAATATATCTTATCTCATGTGATATAAAAAAATATTAAATAACATAATAATAATAAATTTGTGAGCAGGTTGAAAAGTGAAGAAGACAGAAAGCAGCATGAGATTATCGATAAAAAATAATAATATTATTCCTTTATGTGGTTCCCTTGACATGGATCGATCCGATGATTCGGATCGCACTGTTAACAAAAAGTTAAAAACGCGTAATCCTTGTTACCAAAAATAAAAATAAAAATGGCGTCATCACCCCCAATTGGGTCGAAAAGAAGAACAAAGTACTTATCATCCCTTGAATTAATGATTATTCATTATTGATAGTAAAAAAAATAAAATCAATACTAGAAGTATATTACGCCAGTACTGTGGAGGGTAGGCAGTCAAGTCTCCTCCGCGTAAAAAAAGTACAAAGTTGCAACAAAAACATTTATTTCATGAAAATTTTTAATAGCACTTTTATTAAATTTGTAGACACATTAGGGGAGGGAATTGAAAAATGAATTCAAGGAGAAGTTATTAAAAAAAAAAAAAACATTTTTAGTATATTTTTAAGAGTTAAAAAAATTTAGCTTTGAAAAAAAAGCTAAAATATATATCATATTCTCCCCAAAGTTTGTCCAAAGAATTCTGTGCTCGCAAACATTTTAACCATATATTGCAATGATACTATCTACTAATTAAAAAAATATATATATTGCAATGAGTGATATCACAAAATTCTAACAACCGTTAGGCCATAACAAACTAGTCACATACGAAATTTAATAGTGATATTTCATGAATATATAATTATGATTTTAGTCTTACTTTTATTTTATGTAAAGACATATACTTAAGAGACGGAAAATGAGATGTAAAAATAAAGACTGACGCAAAACGTTGAAAATAAAAAATTGTGAAAAAGAAATTGCGTGGCAATTAAAAGGTATGAGAGATATAAATGAAGGCAGTTGCTCCACCCTCCACGTCGCTCTCCTACCGATCATTTACATTAAAAATACTTTTAAAATTAATAAATTATGGTTCGAAATTGTTTTCTGCCCTCGCTGATACGACAACTCACGCGACATGAGTATGTTATATGTACAATCATAGTATACAATTGTCCCAAAAATTAAATGAATATGATCGTATACGTACGTGACTTCTTTTTTCCTAGTTAACACAACAAATAAATTTTTCTTGACGGTAAATTCAAGTTTATGTTACTTTCTTTTTCCTCATTAATGCAACATATATTTAAAATTGTTTAGATTGAAATAAAAAAAAAATGTCTATTTAAGCTTTTACTTGCATCATAAATGATGAAATGGTATTTCAATGTTCCAGTTCATAAATACATGAGATGAATTTAATTTTTCATTTAATTAAAGATAATAAACTCATGCCACTTGGCATTCCACTCTAACTAGTTTAAGTTGCGGATCCCTCTTGAGGGGCAAAAAAAAAAGTGTTGCGAATCCTACCTTTCTTGAAGAAATTACAAACACGTAAAAGTCAAAATATGATATTATCGTCTTAGTCAATATAAGTAAATGGGGACCGTGCGTCGCATAAAAATAGGATTTTTTTTTTTACTGTATATGTAATTTTCTTTTTTATTTGCAAAGTCTTTTTTTTCTTCAGTTTTTAAAGGTTTTGGCTTCATTGTCACTTTAATTGTTGATTATTGATTTTTATCTAAATGATTAAATTTTTTAGATTACACAGTTTTATTAAAACAATAACTTGAGATGATCACTAGCTCGCTCCCAATACATGTAATGATGTAAATTCTCGCGACGTCAATTTTAAACGAACAAAGAAAAAACAGAAAAGAACAATAATGGAACCAAGAACACTCAGCGTTATAAAACTATTACGTTGTTTAGCCTTTGCTTTATGGGCTTCATCTTCCGAGAGATTAAAAAAGTCATTCGGTACCTTGCGTTTATTTGAGCATTCAAGAAGTATTATACAACTAAGCTTTTATGATTTATTTTTTTAATAAGAGCTGATATCATTTGCACAACCAGTCCAATTTCGCGTGTTCCTCCTAGTCAACACGAACTTCGTATGCATTTGGTCTTTCACTGCTCCTCTTTTCGTCATTTCATCATCATGCGCACATGGTTTGAGAGTTTAACCAATATATTTTTGGAGAACACCATAGATCATCAACTTCACAACATCCAGATTGCTGGCATATATCTAATAAATAGTAGAAGTTTATAGAATTCTCATTAGCACTAGTTCTTATCAAGATAAATCTTTGTCAGCATTCAAATCTGGTCCCATGTTACATTCTTAGAATTTTATTGAATTAGGTTTTTACTTATAATATTGTAAAATGGATTAGATGAATAACTTCATATACTTTATCCAAACTTATATTATTACGTAATCTGTTCGAGTTTGAGAATGTATTTTTTTTCCCCATTAATGTCTTATTTATAGAGAAGGAGTTGAAGGTAAAGATTATGCTCATGAAATATACACCTATACATGGCAATTTTTTATGATAATTAAAAATAAAGTGTTAAAAGGTACACATTATTTATATTTTTTTTAAAGTATTATAAATCTAATATTAATATATTCAATAGATATAATATAGTTCTTTCATACTTTTTCATTTAATGAGAGGACATGATCAAGTATTAGAAGATATCTCTATTCTAATTACAGGTCTAGCAAAGGTTTCCAAATATAACTGAATACACTCTATTGTAAATAAATTATTAGCATTAATATTTTTTAGGCTCGTCACGAACTCCAAGTTCTTAGATTTGATAATTGATTTGATAAATTAAGTCGGTCTCTGAATTGAACTTTCAGGCAAATCATCATCCCACTGAAAAAGCAAAAAACGCGAACAACCATCATGTGTCATTTTGTTCACACTCATTTGTCATTTCATTTTATTTCTCTTTCTAATTATGTTCCTCCTTTTTCACAAAAGAATATCTTTCTTAAAAATGGTAATAATAAAGCAACTATTTCTATCTATGTACTATGTTTAGCGGATGAATTAGAGTGAATCGACATAGGCAATTAAGCGTGGCTTAGCTGCGTTAAACATAAAAACTGATCAAACGTGGTTCTTACCGAAAGCACAAAACCGACCCTTCCGGGTAAGTTGAGCAGTTGAGCTCATCCACGAAAGCGAAACACCGCGTGCCCGGCTACAATCCACTGCTCCCGCTACCACAACACTGAAACCAAACAATCCAATTAAACCGCAACACGTCATCAGTTAAGTCAAACTCCTCGATAACGTGCGGAATCACTTGAGTATCGTTGGCCATCGTGGGTCGCAGGTATAGTGAGGTTTGTTTTGGTTTTGTTTCTTACTGCGACAGTTACAAACACGAAACAGTGAAATGGGTCACCCCACTACTACTAGTACCTTCTCTCTCATTCGTCTCCCATTTAAACTCATTCACCAACTCAACCTCTTCCTTCGTTCTAAGGAATCGTTTCAGAACAAAGTTTGAGACTTTGATATTGGATTCGATATATATATATATATATATATATATATATATATATAGAGAGAGAGAGAGAGAGAGAGAGAGAAGGAGAGAAATTATGGCTAGGAGAGATCTTGAAAGCGGTAACAGGGGAACGAAGAACAACATAGAAGAAGATAACAACTACTCTGTTTCAGCTTCTTCCTATGTTTATGATTCAGAGACCCATTGGACATCATGGCTTGTTCCTATGTTTGTAGTTGCTAATATTGCTGTTTTCGTTGTGGCCATGTACATCAACAATTGTCCCAAGAACAATCTCGGATTCCAAGGTAACTGCGTGGCCAGGTTCCTTGGCAGGTTCTCCTTCCAGCCTCTGCAGGAGAATCCATTGCTTGGCCCTTCTTCCTCAACGTAAGAGCTCAATTACTGGTTTTTCTTCAACACCCATGTGCTATTTGATGTTTTGTTAGTTCTTATTGTTGTTTTTTTATTTATTTTTTTGGTTGATTTTTGTCTTGCTTTTATTGATGATCTCACCTTTCCAGGCTTCCTCCACATGGTATGGAACTGCTTCAAATTTAGTATTTTTTTTTTCGTTTTTAGCTTCTTGAGTGCTGGCATGGAAATTTGCGTAGTTTAGTGAATTGGGTACCTCTTTAATCTGATTTACATGCCAAATGTTGGCTTTCTGATACTTGGGATTTGTTTACTGTACGAGATTAATTTCAAACGACTCTTTCTTCATTTGGCTGTTTCAATTATCTGCCTTGGTAGATATTGGGTGAACTTGGTGACATCACATTCTTATTTTTGTGATGAATATCTAGTTTTCTGATCTTATTGCTGATTTCGGTAACTCTAAGATGTGTATATATATTTTTAAAGGGGTGGGGAGAGGTTGTAGATAAATTGTTTAGGGGAGTGGGTGTTTGATGGTTGAGAAAATATTACTATTATCATTATTATTATTTTTTCAGATGAAACAATATCTAATTTACTTTTAGGGTAATCATTTTAACTTTAAGATCGCCACTATTATCATTATGCAATGATATCCTTCAATTTTCACTTTTATAATTGCTTAATATGGTAATCTAAGTTTTTTATACTACTTTCTCTATCACCCTTTATAAAGGCCAAACAAGGAAAGGATCATGGATTCTTAAAAATTGGTGTCCCTGCTGATTGAATATTTCAGAAAAGGCTTTGTTTTCAGCATTTGTATTACAATTTGGTTTATTGGCTGTTTTGATGTGGTCACTCAAGAAGAGCTGGGTTGTCAATAATCATGTGCTTTAGATTGGGTTGTACATTCTTGCACTGCTCTATTTCATTGGGATATTAAATGAAGTTTGCAGTATTGTAGCTGACTTGTTTCATTTGGGTTCTTGACTTTGTCATTCTCTTCAACTATTCGGGGGAATGGGAAGCAAATTTTTTATCTTTCCAGCCATGAGGGTGTGGGTTCTCCTAGTTTGTAACTTGCAGTTCTGTGTATAGTTTAAGTGGTAGCCTATATTGTGTTCTCGAAGAAATTTATTGATTTAAAATGTTTTGTTGATGTTTGAAGATTAACCAAGATGGGAGCCCTTCGGTGGGTTAATGTTGTGCATCGACACCAAGCATGGAGACTTGTGACTTGCATTTGGTTACATGCTGGAATCATTCATTTGCTAGCAAACATGTTAAGCCTGGTCTTCATCGGCATTCGCCTTGAACAGCAATTTGGGTTTGGTATGTACCTTCTTTTTCATACTAATATATCTTCCTGTGAGTACACTAACATCTTTTAGTGTATGTCACACAAAATGAGGAAAAATCAAACATCAGACGAACATTAGACATCTGATCTAAGGACACCTTTTAGGAAACTTAATTTAGCTGTTCTGTTCTTAAAAGTTTTACTTTAATAAATGGTTATGACCTAACATTTTCGTTTGTCAAACTTGTGGCAGTGAGGATAGGAATCATATACCTATTGTCTGGATTTGGGGGGAGTGTACTGTCTTCTTTATTTATCAGAAACAGCATCTCTGTTGGTGCTTCCGGTGCTCTTTTTGGACTTCTTGGAGCAATGCTGTCAGAACTTATCACAAACTGGACAATATATTCCAATAAAGTGAGTGTAGCTAATTAATTGGCCCCTCTTGTCTAATATATGGTTTTCTGCATGCTTATTCATTAATTCTTCTTTAATTTTGGAAACGCAATAAATCGTCAAAGGTTTGTCTAATTGCCATCAATTAGTTCCATACCTTTAAATTTAGATTAAGACCTGTATCTATGTATAACAGTAGAATTAACTTTTATTTGGGACTCCCTTTTCTGCTTTATTGCAGGCAATGGCTTTGGTCACCCTTTTGGTTATCATTGTGATCAACCTTGCCATTGGCATTTTGCCACACGTTGATAATTTTGCTCACATTGGGGGATTTCTGGTGGGATTTCTGCTTGGTTTCATTTTCTTGCCCCGTCCTCAGTTTGGGTGGTTAGAGCAGCGACGTCTTCCTGCAGGTGTTCGCTTGAGGTCCAAGTACAAGGCTTACCAATATGTTCTATGGATTCTCTCTCTTATCCTGTTGATTGCTGGGTAAGTTCTTTTTTTAAATCCTCATCTGGAATATTGTTATTTTGATAAGGTCTTTGATAAAGGATGTTAGTATGGTATATGATTATTCATTAATCAAATTATGAATTCATTTTTCACTTTTCACTTTATATGCTCCCTATTAACTAAATACATGTAGGGCCTTCTAGGCTATTTCCCTTAACTTTGTTACAAGTTTATATAGTCTATCATGAACTCATGCACTTTTATAGTTTGATAAAAAACTAGATGGTAGGCACTAAGATTCATTTGTTTAATGACAGGTTATCGATTGCATTGGTTATGCTATTCCGGGGTCAGAATGGGTATGATCACTGCCATTGGTGTCGCTACCTAACATGTGTCCCGACTAATAAATGGGAATGCAGCAGTGACACTTAAACTACAGAGGCATATGATGTTCATTAGCATATAGCGTTTTCTTTTCTTATATGTATAGCCAATTAGCCATAGCTTTTAGAAACTGGGTTGTTTTGTCTTTTTTCGTTCCCCCCCCCCCTTTGAATAATTGGTTTGTCTTCGTGGATTTATGCCTTCTTTTTTTTACAAAAATAAAATTAAATAAATATTTGCATAGTATATATAAAGAAATTTATTTGTATATTAATTCAAATTCCAATCTTATATTCTCTCTTGGCTTTCTTGTTGTCCATTTATATTCTAATGGGTATCCAACTCATCATGGTCTTGAAATTTATATTCGTGAATTCTAAGTAATCAAGGTGGTAATCAGTCATCCAGTCTTGTTTAATGATCCCAAGTTTGAAGCTTTGGCTTCTTCACTTAGAAGGAAGTCTCAAAATATTTTTATTTGATTATTTTATCTTGGTACTGCAAGCATATTGAATTCAAAAAATGACCAAAAATCAATGTCTTGTAAGAAACGACAAGGAAAATTTTATCCCTAAGTTAGGTCTGAACATCCAATAGATGATGTGTTAACAGAGAAACAAATTAGGTAGGAAAGCAATGTACAGGTTGGACGCCTCATCAGAACCACTACTCATTCCTTAAACGGTACACTTGGGGTTCGCCCATTGTGTGAAAAGGGGATCACTGCTCATTCCTTGATTCATGCACTTTGTCTGTCAGTGTTAAAAATTGAATGTAAAATTCCTTTGGCGTCGCCCGGGTTCGAACCGGAGACCTTCAGTGTGTTAGACTGACGTGATAACCAACTACACCACGACACCTTTTGATGGGCGAAGATCGTAAAAGATTCTACTTCAAAAAAACAAATATTGCATGTTCTGATAATCTAACTTCTGCAATAGTTGCATCATGCAAGCCTCAAAGCTCATTAAAATTTCATGTAAAACCACAAGGTCCACATTGCACACCAACCTAGCTAGCATCTTCCTCTTGTATATTATATAATTTCATAAGTATTCGAAGGACTCCACATAAATTACTGAAAAGCTTTTTTTGAAGGGGAAACAAGTAAAAGACAAGACAAAGGGAGAGGAAAAAGAAAAAGAAAAAAAAGGGGTCTTCTTGAGAAGAAGCATATTCTCATGGAACTTTGTACAATGGGAAGGTACAAGGCATTGAGAATAATTGGGGTTCTGATATTGCTTTCCTCGGCCTCATTTGTATGTGCATTCATAGAATGTTCCACGGTGACTCAACTTTTCTCTGCGTGTTCCATCTTTGTAACCTATGGCTCCCCAGACCCCATTCCAGGGTCCCCTTGTTGTGATGCTTTGTCTGGCTTGAACATCATTTCTAACTCGGGTGATAATAAACAATATGTTTGTAAATGCTTAATGGGCATGATTGACACTTACAACCCAAACGCCACAGCTATAGGTACCTTGCCAGGTTTATGTGGTATCTCTTTGGGCTTCACTATTGATCCCAATACAGATTGTACTTTGTAAGTCTCTTTCTCTTTCTCTCAATGTCTTATGGGCTTGGCTTTAAGGTCCAGTTATACTCTTTTGCAATATTTGCTTGTCACCCTTTGACAGTGTTTCCCGTGTCTATGCAGGATCACCTAGAAATGATTGTTGAAGAATCCATTAGTAGAGGTCAAATAAGCCAGTAGAGAAGGAGAATTGAAGTTTCAGACATGGAAATAAGTAATAAAGTTTATGTTGTAATTTGAGATTCAATATTTTAAATTGTAAATTAGTGCAATGCAAAAGACCTTTAGAAATGGATGCATTGAATTTTAGTTCCACAAAAATTCTTCATATTGAGTATCAAACAAAGTTTTATTCAAATTCATTTCTAGGATCATATGAGGTAATCAGCGTTACACTTCATTTTTCTCATTGGTTTGGGTTGGTAGGGGATATTCATTGCATAGATCGCCATTATTATTAATCATGTGACATGTAGTAAGTGACACATTGAAGTTCTAAGCACCCAACCCAACATCAACAGCCAACAGAAAACTTAAGTGAATTCTACTTATTCTACTATATATTCCAAACCCATTCTCAGGACACTGCTATGCCCCATCGTAAATTGCTGTATTAATATGTTTGGTGGTTGTTGGATCTGTAAACTACGATCTCACTCATCCTCTAATGCCCCCACTGTGCCTACGTTAATAAGTTAAACTATCCATGACGAAGCTTTTAGAGATTGTACCCACTGCCATGATTATGTCTCACCTTTAATAATACCGCTCTTTCTCATAGTTCTATGTGTCCAGGTGAAAACAATTAAACTGATTCATTATTTTCAATCCCCATCACGGATATAACATACAACTGTCTCGTTTTTTTTTTTTTCTTTTAATTCAGGAGAATTATGCTAATGGGAAATCAATTTTATGACACTCTTTTTGGTTGTTGAACTATTACTATTAGTTTAACGGTTCAATTCAAAGTAATTCAAATAAATTGCTTTAGAACTTTTATATGATTGATAAAAGCTAATGATTTTGGCATAATGAAAGCCATCACACTCTTTACAAAAGAAGTAAAAGAAAAACGCATTTGTAAGTTGCCATTTGATAAAAATAGAAGTGGGGTCAGTGGGCCAAAAAGGAACTAGTACATTTTTCTCATAACCATCATATAATGACCTGACTTGGACCGCATGGTCTGCGTTGAGCATCCAAGGCCACAGTTCCTTCACGTAGTCTCAAGAAAAATGTAATGTCCCACATCGGTTGGAGAGGGGAACGAAGCATGCCTTAAATAAGGGTGTGAATACCTTTCCTTGTAGGAGACTTTTTGGGATAACCCGAAACGTAAAACCGTGAGCTCGACGGTGCTTGTGCGCGGGGCAAAGCGGACAATATCATGCTACAGGGTTTGGGGCTTTTACAAAAAAACAAAATGTAGAACAGAACAACACAAGGGAATGAGGTGAGTAATGCTGTCATATGTCACTTGTATATGAATTATTTTGTCCTTTTGTTTCGTGTCCATTTCTGACAAACTGGACCACCGAAAGGCTAAAATAGAAAGAAAGCTAAGATCTAGTTTCCGTGAATTCACAGTGGACAAATCAAATCAAATCAAATCAAAATGGGAATACTAAGCAAGTTGAATAGTATATGAGAAACAGATCTTCTCTAAATTCTATCATATATCAACATAAGTTTTTCGGTCGAAACAAAAATTGTTTTTATGCACAATGGTACTTTTGTTTTTAATTTATGAAAATGAGAACTGGAACATGTACATTTAATGGCAGCGGGGAATCAAGTTGAAATTGGTTTAAATGAACTCAAACCAAATCTAACTAGTTTCAGGCCTAAGTCTGTTGAGATTTAAGAGGAGACGAATTTTGATGGCTATAAGTTTCTCGAATTTTGAACTGAAGCTTGAATCGACCATTTTTCTGATATGTTCTGCAATAGATGGATTAGTGCGTTCATCTCAAAATGGTGAAAATATTGATTAAAAAAAATGGGAAGTTCATGGGAATTTATTGTAAGAGAAATTCACACTTTCTTATTGCTATTATAATTAAAAAAGTTGAAAATATTTGCAACATATATAACGATGTGCCAAGGGTCCCAGCAAGAATTGATTACTTAGATCTTCGTACGAAAGTTATGATTAAAAAACATGAATTCCACTAAGCAAAACAGTCAAACCAAGTCATCATTCATGAATCAACAAATACAAACTTGTAACATCAACAACGGGGATTTAGATCGTGTATAGAAAAAAAGACTATACGACTAGTGTTAAAATAATTACATTCTGAAACTGCTTCCCCACACACACACAAAAACCAAACCAAACCAAAGGAAACATATATCTTTTCTTTTCTTTTTTTGCTTTTGGAAAAAAGTAGGGATTGTCTTGATTCATAACACATTAAATTTCAACTCAAATTGGTACTCTCAATTCTGTTCAAACGGCTCGAGGTAGGTAAGACTTTGTTCCTTAAATCAGAATCCTGATCTGAGTTAGGCCCCACATCCCAAAGACCCTGAAAAGGCCTCCTAGTGGAACCGTATCTGTCAAACTCTAACCTTTGTCTTGGTGCACTCTGTGATCTAACCTTAGCTCGAAAAGATTCAGTGTTTGCCATGTAATTGGGGTAACCCGAATAGCCACTGAAGAAACCCCATGAACACTCACTCCTGGTAGGCGTAAAGGGACCTCTCCTTGCACCACTTGCTGTTCTAGACGAGGCAGAAAATGCTATTGGACTATTATCAGCAGTTCGAGAAGAAGATACTTCTTCTTTTCCTTTGTGAAACTTCAAAGAGTTTATCGGTAACACCTCCCTTGATGAGTGACCTTGATTTAGAGCCTTTGTTGAACGTTTTGATGGAGATTCATAAGCCATAAAGTTCTCATTATTATTATAATCAGAACTCAAATGATAATGTGCTGTCTGAAAGGAGCTGCTACTATGGTGAGAGTTGAAGTGTGGCTTCCAAGTATCTACTTCAAGAATCTTGTCACTTCTATCATCATCAGTGTGTCCATTTTTCAATGAAGCATCTCCGGTTTGGCTGCACACATTATCTTCCATCCAACTGTCTAACCACTTGGAACCAAACCGTGTTCTCTCTGAATCAATGTTCCTAAAATTTGCATTGGAACTACATCTCTGCAAGTTCAAAAAGAAAAATGCAATTGGAGCAGGGAGAATTAAGAGAGGTACACCATATACAAGACCCAAAAATAAGCAGAACCAGGAGTTCAATGGTTGAAACTACTTTCACACTTTAGTCAACTTTTGCTCACGGTTTATCGTCACTTAACTGATTCAAACAACAAAGTGTTACTGTTTAAGTGAAATCCTGTTTTTGAAATCGATTTCACAATCCTTTATATATGAGGAAGAATGGTGTACCTTCAGGATAGAAGAACCATCGAATTTTGTACTGTAGGCACGAAGTGGGTGCTCATGTTCTTCAGGGACCTGCAATTAAGTATAAATACAAAAATCAGACAGATTAATGGTTGATGAATCATTCTTTGCTGAGTAATAATAATCACCGATCTTTTAAACATGATAATTCACATTTCAATGCTAACCACAATCCAACCTAAAACAGCATGCTCAAGTACCATCTCAGTTTGCAATTTGCTATTGAGTTGCCTCAGCTTTTACAACATGCTGTTTGAGACAGGGTGGAAAGTTATTTTGCAGCAGATACCAAATTTCAACAATTGGTGGGTTCATTGGGGAGAGAGGAGAAATTAAAGACATATAAAAAAAGTTACATTTTTAAAAGAGACAAGTTTGAAGATAACGAGGAGTCATTGTGTGTAGCCTTTCTAACAAGTTAGCCTCTCCACTTGGTACTTTAACAAAAAAATGTAGCCTCAGCTTACAAAGATAAGAATAAGGACAATTATATAACTGAAAATAAAAAAGGATTATGCTTGCTTACAGGGTAACGAGAAAGTGAAGACTTGAAAGAATGCATATTATCTGACAAGTGCGCACGACTTGCACGTGCCTGGGCCTGAAGTCGCACCAATGTTTGCATGCGCCTGAGCATATCTGCAGTTTGCTTTCTCACAATGTGACCCCTAACCAATGCTTGCAACTTCACCAAAGCTTTTAGTGCTCTCAATGCCCTCCTTGCCTTCCATATTCATCCAAAAATATTATTTTCAAATAGTTTCAATCAGAAAAGTATCCAATAACAGTCAAAATTGACCCAACCCATTTCTTAAGGAAAAAGAACAATTACCACGAAGCTTAAGTCAAACACCCACAGAAAGAAGATAGGATAGCATGTTTGCTACTCGTTGAAGTTAAGACCCTCTACATAATAAAATAAATATATTGAGAATAGACAAGCAAGGAAAGCATGCAATTCTTTGTTGGATGCAATCATTATTACACACATAAGCATACCGTGGAAAGCTATATCCTATGGGCTATGGCTATATATCGATTCTCCTTTTTATTCGTTGAAGCTTCCTATATTATATTTCCCACCTTTGTATGTCTTGCATAACAAGCAGAAAGACAAAAAGGTAAAAAAGTTATGTACATTATTATCTTTACAAAAAAAGAAAGAAAGAAAGAAAGAATATATTATTAATGTGTTAGTGACCTTAACCAGGGTTACTTCTTTCACGTGAAAGTTAGAATCTGTTTATCTTCAAGTAAAGTGAAAAGCCCCTTTTTCCACAAAGGAATGGTTTTTCTTTTTGATTTGGCAAGGCCAAGAAAAAGACTTGATGGCAAATACTCCCCCATACCCATTGAAAAATGAAATTAGTGGTTACCAATTTGCTTGTCACTCTCCTATTACATGCAGTAATAGCAACCCTACCAACCAGTACTTAGGGTCATGACCTTAGACATGGACACATGGTTGATGATGGGTTGGCACAGGCCCACTAACCTTTGATGTTTTGGGTACAAAGGGCCATTCTAGTTTGCCTGCTGGAAAGGTAACTATCATAACTCACCAAGTGTGTGGGGCTCTCTTATGCTTCTCACACACACGTCTCACTTTCCTCTCTTGAATTTTCTCTGTTTGGAATTCCCACACACTCAAATTCCCAAAAAGGGGCCCTTTATCGACCTTAGGAATGGGAGTGTCTATGGCTATGGCAACTCTTCTCAATTAATTTTTATCTAAAATATCATTTTTCTTCTTTGTTAATCAAACTAAGAAATTAGAGAATTTATATGTTAATTGAATAGGAGAACATAATAACACTCTCCATAACATGCAACATTTTCTGATAGAAATTACGTCCATGAGATAAGGCAGAATAGAACGCGCTCAAACACACATGACAGAAATGACTTAAAACAATACAAAAAGTAGCAGCACGTGACAAGAAAAAGTAACAATGATTCCTAAAAAATTATAAAATTAACCTAGGAAAAACTTGTGAGAGGGAAATAAAAAAGAATATTTTGACTCTGATGACGAAATAACACATAAAGCAAATTGTCAGCACTCAGCAGCAGTACCCAACTATAGAGGCCAGAGAAAACAAACCCTTTCCAGAATCTCACTATAAACCAAATAAAAAAAAAATATTTAATTAAATTTTTATAATTAATTTATATATTTTGGAAGGAAGCATGGCATGGTATGGTGTGGTGTGGGGGTGGAAAGGGACCAACACCAATGTCCAGGGAACAGGTTGCTTTCAATGAGTAAAATTATTTTAAAATAAAAAAAATCTCACTGTTGAAAAAGAAGCAATATTTGACTAGTGTTTGTTTCCCGAGAAAATCAGTGGGAAAAATTCCATTCCAAGAAGAGAAAGAAAACAAAAGAAACTGAAGTCAACAAATTTGAAATTAGCAGATAACCTCTGACCATGAAGAATTTTAAGAAAATAAAATGAATCAAGAAAACCAAGCAAAGGGAACAGAAACTCCAAACCTCGGAAACATCATCGTAAAATGCTAATAAAAGAAAAGAAAAGTAAATAAGGATTTTTCAATTTTAACTTACCAAGTAACCACGGAACGCCGACTGTATCTTAACGGCGGCGGTCAACTCCAGCCACCGCCGCTGGCCAACATGCGCCGCGGTGGCGGGCCTGCTGCCAGTGCTACTTCCGCCGACACCGCCGCTTGTCAGTCTGACTACCTCAGCGGCGGCGTGGGCAGCGGCGAGAGCGGCCTCGGCGACGGCGGCGGTAGCGGCGGCAACAGCGATGGCATGTTTGTTGGCGTCCAAGGAGGTGGAGAGGTCAAAGTGGTTGACGACGGGGGGTGGTGGGAGTGCCTTGTTCTTGATGCTGTGTGTGCCGAAGCTCCATCTTCTCCTTTTGTCCTTGCCGCCAGATTTAGAACCCGACCCGTCAGAGGGAGGACCCGATTTTTTGGCGCCGAAAAGACGCCGGAGAAAGCCCATATCTCAACTCAAGTCATTGGTAGTGAGTTTTGAAGAAAGGTTATGGATTTAGTGAAGAAGAGAGAGAACAAAATGAAATGGATTTAGTTAGAGAAAGTGGGTAAGAGAGAGAGAGAAAAAAAGAAGAGAAGGAATGATAATTGAAGTAGCTGAAGAACTGGGCAACACTCAGATTTTGTAGTTAGTGTTGGGGATTTGAACATGGAATCTTGTTTTCTAGTTCAACCTCACGCGCCTTTTTAACAGTCTTCCCTTTACTCGCAACTCCTGAAATTTTTATTTCAAATTATTAATTATTTACATATATTTATGCGTATTTGTCTCTTGTTGGAAATCATATTTAGTTAGATACTTGCGTCATAGATTGGATACACTACCCACCTTACCTCACCAGCAAAGCAATATTCTTCCATGGGTATGTGTGTTGTGTATACTGTATACTAACACACTAACCTTTTTATTTTCAAAACCTTTTATTGAATACGTCTGCGTACATCTATCTATCTTAAACTTCACAATAAGCCAATATTACTCAGGTACATGCTGGACCATGCAAGAAGCTAAGTGTTTTTATTAATTTGTTTACTATCCAACAAACCACAACTTCACACGTCCAAATTATATGTCCTATTCAGTTTCTCTTTTTTTGATTTATTTTATGTATTTTAAGATCTGTAATTGAAAAATTAGAGTTATAAGGTTATAGAAATTATGTTTATTTTCTTATTTAACTACCCATTTATTTATTTAATATTTATATAGAGTTATGCTACTCATACTTGTGTCCATCTCGTAAATAAGAAAGCCCAGCTAACATATGAATCCCTTACTTTTAATTTAACTAGTAAAATAAAAATGTCTAACCGTCGAACATATTAAGATTTTACTTCCTAATAGCATTTATTTAATTACGATCGTATTGAAAAATTGACGGATAGATCTATTTTTTCCCCCCACTTGTGCATCCATATGGACACGTGGAATTTCATATCTAGATAAATTAAGCTGCAAACATTTCAGTATGATTGCGAAAGAAGCTGAAAGGTTTGATATAAACGTGTAGTGTGGTGTTTTCTAATAATTTAGAATTCCATTTATTCTCATGTAATAATTTATAATTCTTTTTCTGCTAATACGGTTTAGAATTTAATTCAACTATGAATCCCTTTGTCGTGATCTGAGGGAAGTTGCCGGTGTGGTTGACGAATAAGACCTACACACAATAATACAAAAACAAGGTTCTCGGTGTTCACTCCCCTCATTTTGAACAAGTGTCATCTTTAATTCTTTTGAAGAGCAAAAAATATTTTGGATTAGAAAAAAAATATTTAAAATAAATGATTGAGTTTAATTAAGAAAGGTATATGTGTAATGTTATAACTGAGTAACGGATAGAATGACACATCCTAATTTTATCCATCTGAAACATGACTATGTTTGGCTAATAACGATCCTGTCATTTTAAGGAAGCCGAAGGCAGGTACAATGCCATCGTGCTTCTCTAAAAATGACATCCAACTACATTGGAGGCCCTCAAGCTACTTAATTGTTACCTTGTCTATCTTTTGTTCGGTTTTGTTTTTTGAAATAAATGTTTCTGTTCAACTTCTGGTGCTCATGTGAGCACGCAAGTTTGGATCAAATTATCTTAAAAAACAAAAAAACAAAACAATATCAGCACATTTTTGTCAATATGGTCGATGCTCTTGTAGCTTGCTCTCTTTGGTTAGAGGTTGCATTTTACTAATCCCAGTTTTCCATTTAGTTCTTGCCTTCTGTTTAACGAAATGAAGGCAATGTACAGTAGAACTACGAAGAAGTGCTCTATCATGCATTATAACCAAAAACTCAAAATAGAAATTTTCCTCATGTTATAGTCATCTATCATGCATTAGGTCAGGCTAGCATAGAATCAGCTTCCAGTGTATCAGATATTTCTGATATAATGAAATGTATTAAGAATATTCAGAATCTTGTCAGACGCGACTTCCCAAGCAGTATCTCTTAACCATCACGAGAAACCGGCATTAGGGTTTCCAAAAGATTTTCTTGTTCAGATAGGTCAGGAACTAAAAACAACAGCACAGTAGAAATGAACAATAATTCAAGTCAAGAAACAAGAGGTTAAAAAAAATGTATTAGTGGATTTACGTTAACTTTCATTCCGAAAGTTCATAGTCAATTAGGTGATGTTCATATGAGCTACAATATCATATGGTGTATGTTTGGTCATTTACAAATATAGGAGGACTCTTCTCCATGTTTATGACTAGATCTATCCCTACTGTACAGCAAAAATATTGGCATTGCCAATAGAGGAAAATGATTCAACCAGGTTTTTCCCTCGTACTTTATGCAGAGTCAGAACTTCGGTATCTATGGTCATACAGCAAGAATGAAGATGAATGTGGATTTTGGATATCAAGATCCATCCCCTACAACCAATATACACAAAGCAGATTTAATTAGTTTTCCAACATAAATCCCTCCACAATCCACCACAAATCTTGGGGGGGGAACGGTTCTATTCATGACCATCAAGTGTTTACCTGTCTCATCTGATTATTGCTTGCCATGGACTCATGGTATGTGCTTTGGATTATAGGCTCCTGAGTAAATATTGCTCAACAAATTATTTACAGAAGCATGCTGCATATTCAACTTATAGTCAAAACACTTAATGACTGGAAAAATAAATACCGGCAATAGTTGAGATTGGCCAGGAGAATCATGCTGGTTAGAAAAGAAGTTTGGCGGTTGGAATATGTTAGTATTAGATTGATGGTCCAGCACAAGATTAGGCTGCTCATAAATGCAGTGAACTGCTTGATTGGCTTCAAAACTGTACAAACCCTGTACCACAAATGACAGAATCAATAAATGTCATTCTCTCTCTCTCTTTTGGGAAAGAACATATTCTCTTAAAAAGTTATGAGCATTATACCAAAAAAAATAAACTATGGCATCTGATAAATAATAAAAGATGACCTGCAAAATGGGATTTGGTGCTGCGGATTGAGATGAAACATATACAGATGAGGGGCTTGGAATGCATACAACAGTATTTGGAGAAGATACTTCTACACTCAAAATCCTATCAGAATCAGTTCCATTACAATTCACGGTTGTTTGATGGTCCCTATCTTGCGTAGCTCTCCTATCTTCTCCATTTACTCTGTTACTTTCGAGTTGATCCTCAATCGCATGTCGATTCAGAAAGATTTCTGCAGGCTCGCTTTCTGAAGCATTTGCATCAATACTACTTGAGGTGATAACTTGAGCTTCCTCAACTTTCAATGTCAAGATTTTCTCCACTCCTTCCATCACTTCATCAAGTTGCCTCGTGGCAAATTGATAAGCCTCTACAGATTCAGAGGCTCTTGCTGATAACTTAAGAAGTCTGAGGCACAAATCTTTGTAACAACTTGCCACAACCATCTTAGGGTTATCTTGCATTTTATATTGCCTAATCTCCTTGAGATTTCCCAACCTTGCATCTTTTGTCCATCTCTTCAAGATATACTGTGATGGAGCTACTTTTATGTTTTTATTGTCGAGAACTTTTAGTGCATGGCTACACAGAAATCCAACATGCTCAAATTTCATACAACTGCAGACAACTGTATCATCTGAAGAATTGAAGGTAACACTGTATTGTCTAGTATGCCCAAATGTATTTGCTTTATACTGAGACAATGATCCATTTCTACTGTTTTGGTTAACAAGAACATTTAAAGACTTCTCATATCCTCGCTGAAATACTTCAAATGCTCTTGGAGTATAAACATCACTTGCATGCTTCAACAAAACTACATTACCCATGAGCCTTGGCAAACAACCGCTCATTTCATCACTAGCTTCTATTTCTTTATAACGTTGCTCATCAACTACCCTTTCAAAATGCTTAAAAAATTGAACTATATCAAGGTCAGAATTTAAATAACTTCTAAACTTGTGAGATAAAAGCTCACCTAAATGAAAGCCTTTGATATCTACAAAAAATGTATTCCGTCCAAAGACAACAGCCCATTTCTCTTTTTCTCTATACATCCATCTCAGCCATTCATTTTGCTGGAGATTATACTTCTCCAGCATAGCCTCCCAAGCATGAGTAAATTCTTCCTCATCCTTGGGGTCATAAATACTGCTCCTTAGATCATTTGCAAAAGATTCAGCATCCTTAACAACATGGCTCAGGTGTTTCAAAGTATTCTCATACATCTGCCATACACATGTACAATGGTTTGTTTCAGGTAAAACTGTATTGACTGCTTCAATAATTACAACTTCTTGTTCTGTGAGAATGGCCTTTGGCTTTTTTCCAGACATTGCATTAGTGAAAGTTCGAAATAGCCAATTAAATGATTCAATGGTATTGTCATACAAAAAAGCAGCAGCAAAGATTAACACTTGTTTGTGATTATTAACACCTAAAAACTGTACAAATGGCCGAAGATCTCTGTTTGTTCTGCAAGTTGTATCCAAACAAATGACATCACCAAAATGGTCATAATCCACCACCATATTGTCATCAGCCCAAAATAGATTGCTTACCTTGTCATCAACATCAAGCTGTATAGCATAAAAAAATGTTGGATTTTCAAAGTGTTGCCTTTGGAAATAACCCAGCAAACGCCCTGCTTCTCCTTCACTCATGTCTCTTTCCCTTTCAGAATGAAGGTAATTGTCATAATTCATGGAAAGTTGATCAAGAGTTTCACGGGCACCTAGTTTTTTATTCATCATATCTAATGCAGACTTTGATTTAGGTCCCAAATTATTACTGGAGTCAGCATGCACAGCTTGAGCAATACTAAATTCATTTTGCAAGTTTAACATGTTAGCATTGCTAGGGTTTATATTGTCATGATTATGTTGTGATTCAAAGTGGGTGACCTGATATTTACCATCTGGTTGACGAGTGATGATCATGTGTGCCAAGCAGCCAGTTCTGGTTTCCTTCCTATGTTTCTTCACATTAGTATCTCTTTTGTCTTTCCTGCGGTATCCCTCTTTGGAGCAGGTAAACTTCCTAGACACCACCTGACCATGTACTTTACTCCTATTTATCCAATCTTTTCTAACATTGAAACCCACCAATCTGGCATACTTATTATAGAATCTGTATGCATGGTCATCAGACTCAAATTCCGTACCAATTCCCAACACCGTACTGTTGCTGAGTACATTTGTTGAAGAAAGACCAGATTGAGAGCCATAAACATGAACAATGTCTGGGCTGCAACAGTTCTGCTCCACATTCAAGTCCAAGTCATTCGGTGTCTGAGGTCCAAGATCAACATTCTCTTCATGCACAGTACCCAACTCGTCATGATCCCCATCCATTAAAAACCTTCACCAAATTTGGGAAAAATAAGCCAATTAGTTTAATTTACTCATCTCATAAAAGAAAGATATGGATCACAAAATAAACCCAACAAATGTGAGAACTTAACTCATGCCAAAAGTCAAAATGATATTTCAAACCCAAATAATAGCTCCATTTTGCAATTTGCGTATTCAATTTGAGTGGACAATGATATGCCTAAATGCTAAATTCACAGCGAAATCTGCGATCGAGTAGAGCTTTAATATGCATAAAATTGAAAAAGAAAAAAGGCAAATACTACAGTTTTAACTGGATAATGATTCATGATCGATCACGTTCATTTCAAATTCTGCGATGATGACTTGACAGCGCAAATAATCATTACCAGTAGTGACGAAGAGAAACGAAACAGCCGGGAACTGAGACGTTGAACACTGAAATTAGGGTTTGAGGTCAAAGCCTGAGCACGTGATCCACGGAAGGAACAAAATATCGTGCAAAGGACGCACGATACTGCCCATAATCTTTGGATTTCGCAGTTACAGCTGAAACCAGACAACCGAGGAAGTGCAACGTCGTTTTGTGTAGTTGGATGCATACAAATAGAGGTTCCGAAAACGCATTATTCTATTCCTGAAAGTTGGTGAGTGCGAATAAACGAACAACAACAGCAAGTCTGCAAACCCTAACACGATGTCCGAAATCTAGCAAGTTAGAAGACGATAGTTAAAACGCATCCGCTGCTCTTCTGCTAAGGTTAACGTTAAAACGCATAGTTGCAACACTGTCGTTTGTTTTAAACTTTATTTTATTTTATTTTTGTTTTTTTTTTTTAACAAAAGGAGTTGGTATTCTGCTTAAATTTTTGTGAATACAAAAAATTTACATCCTAAGAATACTTGTGATGTATCCACACAAAAAAATATGAATTTAATATAAAAGTCCTATTCTGTTGTTTAAATTTCTTACGTTGTTTTTAAACTTGAACTTATTATTGAATGTTTTGATTCATGATTTATTAATCTAATCATAATTTAATTCATGAGGTCGATCCAACCAAAAATAATTAAATATATATTATGTAATTATCAAATAATAAACTAATATATTCATAAAATAATGTATGTTTAAAATTAAATAATATAATAACACATTTAAATTTAATGATAAACATAATACTTTAAATTTCATAACATCACCAAATGGTGGTAGCTCAGTTGGCGGATGAGGGCATGTGTTCGAACCTCTCCAGTACCACCTTTAGGAGGAGTTTAAAGCCTTAATCCTGAACCCGCCCCGAATTGGACTAATCGCAAAGCCGATGGAATATTTCCAAAAATAAAATAAAATTATAACATCATTTATAAATAAGTTTAGAGTATGACTTAATCTTTAAAATGACATTGTTTAACTTTTTTTTTAAAAAAAAAAAAGAAGAAAAAGAATAAATCAAGGTGCAGTTAAATGGGCTAGTTTTAAAAAAACTGTAAATCAAGTCAAATGACTTACTGTCAGTTTATATTTATTTTATTAGCATTTAATTTAGTAAGTTGATTGTACTTAATAATTAAGGCTTTTTGATCATTGTACCCATTATTTAATTAAAAATTATCACTATGCCTCCAGTTTTAAATTATTTAAAAAAATTGACCTCTCCCTTAAATATAATACCGATTTGCACCCAGTTTAACTATTGGCTGCACTCCACAGTTAATCAATTAATTAGTTTTTCAGTGAAATTGATTGGCCCGACCCAATTTATTTAATCATGTTAAATATGTAACTCTTAAAGAAATGTGAAGAGAAACATTACTTTTCGAACTAAATTTTTGTTCTATTTTAAAGTAAAAGAGAGAGAAGAATATTTTTAAAAAAAAAAAAAAAAAACCTTTTATTGTTTATTTTATTCTATAAATTTAATTATTTAAAAGAGTTGTATTAAAATTTTCACACTTATCTTTCCATTTATCCTTAATCATTTAAATATGAATATAACTTTTTTTTAATACATTTCATTATGCTATCTATACTATTTAGTAAAGAAGATTATTTCATATAATTATTTTGGTCACATTTTATTTTTACTTATTTTAGTATTAAGGTTTATTTTTATATAATCAATAATTACCCGCTAACTTGATTGAAAATTGTTCTTATTTAATAAAATTGTATTCCTCCTTTGTTTTCTCTTTTTTCCTATTATTTTTCCTGTTATTTTTAAAATATTGCATATTTATAATGTTAAAAACGAAAAATAAAAATAAAAATACGAAATTTATCCATTAAATTGCTTGTAAATTTCATTTCTCTTAGTCTTGGTTAAGATGAAAGAAGGAAGTGAGCCCATAAATTACTTTTTAAATAATTTTCTTTATTCAATTGGAGAATGCTATGTACCAAGAAAAAAGAATTAGCGAGAGAGTATGACCAATATCAATGTTCATTGGAGGAAAATCCCAACATCCTTTATTTCATAGCAGTGACATCTTTTTCTTTTTCTTTTTTTTCTTGTGATACGTTGCATGGTATATATCAAAATACACATTCAAAACAAAGTCCAAAAACAGGAGAGAAAGGGCTTTCAACATTTTATTCCCCGTACAGCACATGCTATTCTGCTTCATCATGCTCTAATTTGCGGCTGTAAATTAAGCATAATCATATTTGATAAGAGAAAATAAAGTGATGAGAACAATGGCAGAAAAAGATTAATAATATAATAATAAGAAGGGCACTTGAGGAGAGGGTTAGTGTATATGATTACCGCAACGGAGGGATGGGAGTTGGCACTCAGAAGGAAGTTGAGCAGCGATCCTGAGGGTGTTGCAGAGGCAGTCATGGTTCAAGGCACCAAGTGCACCACAGCACTCAGCACTTGGGTTTGTGTTGGGTGCACCTGGTACCACAAACGGTGCACATACGTTCAGGTTGCTCAGCTGGTTTGAGCAGCTACTCTGTGCCTCACCCAATTCCATCTCTGTCCCCAGTGCCACTACCAACAGGACCAGCATTGTAACTTGATGCCTCAGTGAAACCATACACTTCACACTTGCCATGACTTTTAAAGCTTCTTGTTTACTCACTCTGTGACAATTAATGTTTCTTTCTTCGTATAATATAATAATATACACCCCAATTTATAGTCAAGTTTGGAATTGAAAGATGGGTCCTTTTATGTGTGACCTACCAAGAGATTTCAGCTCACAACATTGGTGTTGAATTGCTGACAGCGTCATACCTTGACACGAGTTCATCAAAATTGTCCAACCATTAACTTTTCTTTTCTTTTTTTGGGATAAATTGACGTAATTATGAATCAAATTGACGTAAGATTTTGTGTACCTTGAATTACTGTTTTGTTTATTCACTTTCTAGACCTATGTATAATAATCAGGCAGCAGTTGATTACTAAGTAATTTTGAAAGCTCCAATAAAAGCATTTGGGGGTTAACTACTCTTTAATTCTTGAGTAACAATACAAATGCTTGCCCTGTATTCGGTGTTCTTTGCAGTTAAATTTGCATTCCACCAAAAAATTGCTTGCATCTAACTCCCTTGTCCCCCACCAAAAGAAAAGAAAGCAAAAAAGAAAATAGATTGAAAAAAAAATATCAGCAAAAGAGGAAAATTAACCTAAACAAAAAAGACTCTACAAGTTTTTAATTAGTCTTCTAGGAAGAAGCAGGAGCAGTCCAATACTTCTTCACAACAAATAGAAGTTTCTCCCTTTCAAGAGGTCCATCTTCATGGTCTACAATTAGACTATCCCAGTCCAATCCATTGACAATGCTCTTTACTTTCAACAATATATCAACATCATCTCGGATGATTATAGTTCCTTCAGGTCTAAGAATCCTATCCATTTCTAGCAGAATGTCTTCCAATTCACATCTACAACACAGAAGCACATTGGTAAGATTGTACAGGGTTTGAATCTTTCAAAATCATGCATTATATTTCAAATAATGAAATGAATTTCTAAGATCAATAATAGCAAGCTGATTTTTACTTTTGAAGTTATATATGAAATTCAATACTCAAAAACATTTTTCTTGTAAAATAAAACCTGCAAACAAATGTATTACCTGTCACTGTAAAGGCTGAAGACTGAATCAGCATGAATTAGATCATAAGTTCTAGGATAAGTAGACATCGCTTCACACCTGCAAGAGAATTAAACGGTTAATTCAAGCTTTAAAGAAAACACAGAGACAGAAAGAGAAAGACAGAAACCTTGACAAGGTATTATTGTACTAACCAGTCATGATATGTTCCAATCAATCCTCGTTCATATATTGCTCCAAGTGTGTTGACCTCAGCCTGAACTGGAACCACATTCATGACCCAAACAGGATCCTCAATTAGTGCAGCGGCAAATCCACCCAAGTAGGCATTCATGTCCAAGAGGTTGCGGTATCTCCCAGATTTTCCTAGTTGATTGTTAACTGTCTTATAATACGATACCCTTTTCTTCCACAGCTCATTGTCATTTGAATAAGCTTCAGGAGTAACCCCTTCTATGGTACCCAAATAAATCCTTGGAGGGATGGATTTTAGTCTGCCAGGCCAATTGTCCAATACCCGACCTGAGGTTTCTTCTTTGTTAGACACTTCAGGCACAGGACTCAAACATGCCTGCAAATCGGTATACCTGAAGGTGACAAAAATAAATATAAAACAAATGCAAAAAACTCAAAACTCATCAATAGCAAACAAAACACAAAGAGATTGGAGAAATGAGGCACAAACCAGGCCTTGTCAGGATCATTCTGTGCATTGCAAAAAGGCCGGTCTTGGGTGAGCTTACGATTGGCCTTGCAATCTAAATGGTTTTTTGGTTTCTGCCAAATAGCAATATCATCCTTCTCCACTAGCTTATTCCAGCAAAGGCTTTTGGCTAAGTTTTCAATTTTGGTCTGCTCTTCGTTCAAATCCTCCTTTGTCCTTTGCCAACCTTTCCAGTATTTCTTCCAGTTGATTGGTGGCCCAGATAGAATCCAATACCCACCGGGACGTAGAACTCGATCAACTTCGTTCAGAAAAATTCCATCTAATTCAAAAAGTGAAAAGAATCAATACAAGATAATGCTAAATCATGAAACTTTTGTTTCTTTTTCTTTATTTTAATATGATGACTTAAGATCATTTGTGTATTACACAAGAGCATTAACTACATCTGCATCCTGAGCAGACACACATGTTATGTGTCTATCCAGAATGCACCTTGATTTCTCTTATATTTATTATGGGAAGCCTGAAAATAGTTGGGAAGTGACGATTGAAAATACCATATTCAGGCCATGGGATGAGGCAGCGAGAGCAGTGGGCCATGTCAAAAGCTCTGGAAGGGAAAGGTAGCCTCTTGGAGGCTAGGACTCCAATCAATGCAGGAACTCCTCGCTCAAGAGCAAACTGAACTTGTGCTTCGTGGGTATCCCTTGGTGCAATCGACATTGTTAGGATGTCTCGGGATAGAAGATACGCTCCCCAACTAGCAACCTGCATAGCCAAAGTTTCAGAAAATACTAAAATTAGGTTATTTCACAGTGCACTAAATAAACTGATCAAATGGATGTGTTTGTGTGAAACTCAATTTCTCTGAAATTCTCTAGCTACATCAATTTGTGTTTAAAGGGAAAAAGAGCAACGAACTCGAACACTCGATAAAAGATTGCACAAACTTTGCCATGTATCAATCATATATATGGATTTCCAATGACTAGTAATTTATTAATCTCAAATACATAATTCGTATATTAATATAATAAAAATTCCAGCTTGAACTAGCCCATACTTCACAAAATACTAAAACACAATAAATTTGGAATCCTGTGTGGCTGTTGGAGGTATGTAGCAATAGTGATTAGTGCTGTGCTATATGTGGCCATTTGCCCTGGCAATCAGAATATCAGATAACTGATCTGGTTTTTCCGATTTATGGAAACACCACATGATTTTTTCAGCTTTTTTTTGTGTCTCTTCATTGTTCAAAAGTAAAAGACAATTTTTTTAGATAGATGACTTTTCGATCACCATTTTAAAATTTCACAAGTTATTGTGATTATCTACACAACGCTAAAATCTAACACAGTATTAATTGTACCCAAAAAATTACAAATGTATCCAAAACCTGGGATTCGGATTCTGAATCAAAGTTTTACTAAAAGAAAAAGAAAAATGAAAACATGAAATTTTCATTTTTCAAATATTTTTTATGATGCAAATATACTTAAATAAGGGGGCAAAATATGTATCAAGAAACATTGGCTACAAGCTCACTAGCACATTGTAATTATGTTTTGTTTTTTTGAGGACATTGTAATTATGTTTTTAAGAATAGAAAAACAAGAAAATCCAAATTTGTGTCCTAAGTCTTTAATTTTCTGAGTTCATGAATGACCCAAAGTACGTTGAAAAGTTCATAGTCTCGTCCTATATAATCTTCCAATTTGGTTTGTCTTTTATTTTTCGAAGTTCATGAATGGCCCAAAGTAAAACGATGAAGAAAATGCTGTATATTTAATGTCTTATTTTCTTACATTGTCATATTAAGTAGAAAAATCTACGCATATTAAGCTGTATCTGTGTGTGCCAGATACAGATGGAGTGGGTTCCACTCATCCGGCATACCTTTTATGCGTAGCGCCGCATCTGGTAAACTGTTTTATCATTTAATTAAAGTAATTTCTTTGAAAATATATTAACCAATATGTAAAAGTATGAAAACTTTAAAAATATGAAATGCAGTAATTAAATTAGGATTGATATATCATATCAAAATTTTCTTTTTTCAGAGGGGAAAAAAAAAAAAACTAAAATTTCATTTTCTTTTAGGGTAAACCTACCATCATGTAACATAATCTAAAACATTTTTACTACTCAAACAAAAATCATGTGAGTCCCATGAATATAATAAAAACAAAAAATAAAAAATGCTGGTGTAAAAAACAATGTGTGAGTAGGTAAAAAAATTTATATTATGTTACATGATATTAGTTTTCCCCTTTCTTTTAATATTGGCCGTTTAGAAAAATCGAACCATTAGATAGATTCCCAAAAAAATCAAAATTCAATGTGGAAAGTTCATGTAGGAGGATGTACAGAGTAGCAGGCAGGCAGTTACTACACTTGATTTGATTTGACTCCTATTTTGAAAATGACATGATACACTTCTATACCACTTAATTAAAACAATTATCAATGCCAACCACATGCCAGGTGAAAACAATCGCCAACTCATTTCCACACTCCAGTTTTGGAAGCTGTTGAATTTTTTTATTTTTATTTTTAAATGCTAAACTTCATTACTAAGAAATAACTCTGCATAACTATTACTTTTTTGAAGGAAAAAAACAAAGGTTCCTCTAGCAGACAAGAATTCCACACGAAGACAGTGATAAATGAAAATGATGTGCAAGAGAGATAGGAGAGAAAGACAAAGCCGTTTCAAATTAAATATTAATTTCAAGATTAAGAGAAAAATAAAATAAAATAAAATCTTATTTCTTTTCTAATAAAATAAAAAGAAAAAGAGAGAGAGAGAAGGTTAATTACCCCACAACCAGTGTCAAGTGCTGTCCTAATGGAGCCATCTTTGAGATTGATCAACTTTCCGATATCATCAATGTAAGCGTCGGCACCATTGGGGAACATGGTTCCGCCGCCGGGGAAAATAAACCGATCGCCGTTGTAACGGATCCAATTCTGCACCGCCTTCTCAACCGTCAGCTCCCGGTGGGGCACGTTAGCGTACCATGCGACGTTCCTGCTGGCCGGCCAAGGGAAGGGGTTCCGATACCCATAAGGCGGCGGCACCCTGCACCTCAGCTCCTCGCCGTTCTCCGGGCAGTGCCTCTCCCTGTATATCATCCTGCTCCGCTTGTACCTCAGCGACCTTGTGGGGTCCTCGCACGGCGTGTACTCGGTGTAGTTGGCGCTACACTGAGGGAATGTTCTGGACGTGAGTGTGGCGGAGATGTGGGTGGCGTTGTGGTGTGATTGGAAGTCGAGTGTGGTGGCCTTTTGGTTGCATTGTGCTGTGGGTATGATGATGGGTTTGGTGGTGGTGGTGGAGAGATAATTGAAGCGTGGACGTTGTTGATAAGCGCCGATGAGGTAGGAGACGATGCAGAGCACGACGACGAAGAGAAAAAGATGGGTTTTTCTGATGAACGATGAGTTGGCGGGTTTGAAGCGTGAAGAAGTTGAATCACCACCACCGGGCATGACTCTGGTGGTTTGTGTGATATTATTATTCTTGGAGATTCTTGGGAGTTTACGATGGAGAGACGTGTACTGTTGCTTTATATATATAAAGATGGTTTGTGCTAAAAACAATTTTGCCGAATGGATTCGATTACTTTTTAGCTTTTGAGTTGTGACTTTCTCTCATTCGATGAGACCGCTTCGGAAAGCGTTTGGGAATATACATACTCGCAATTATGCATCTTTGTATCACGGTGTATCGTAAATAGTATCAAATAATATGATACAGAAATATAATAAAAATAAATTTAAAAATATATAATATAATTAATATAATATAAATCCAGATTCTAAAAAAGATCTAAATAAGTAAAATACATAAGTAATTAAAATGCAAATCAATTATTTTCTTACTCATCAATTATTAAGATTAATATTGTCACTATTACCACAATCAGCGTCTATTAGTGACATAACTAATTCATCATTCTCCTTTTAGATTCCTTTAATTTAAATTGCAAATTATATTTTATTTCTTTTTTTATATTAAAAATTAAAAATTTTAATTTAATTTTTGTATCATAAAATACTGTATCATATCATTCAATACAAACTTTTTTCTGATACATCATACGATATGTAACTTGTGAATCATATCGTATGATATGAATTGTATAATGTATGGTAAGATGCTCATAACTATGTTTGGAAAAGTTAACGACTGGTTTCCTTCGTTTAAAATCACTTTTTTCTCTTTTAGGAAATTGTTTTTATTTTATTTTATGATGAACTAGTGAATTACCCGTGCGATGCCCGGAAAAAAAAAACAAAATATTTGTCGTCCGCCGTGGTTGGTTAATCGCACTGCTAATCTTATATTTACAAAAACTCGTGTTGCTATCTTGTTTTATATTTCAGGTTGAAAAAACTACAGCATTGACACAGAATTTTACAAATATCAATCATAAACAAAAATCTGCTATCCAGAGTGATTAATATTATGCAAATCAAATATAGTTATCTACTCGATGAGTTATGGAAAAAATAAATATGCCATAGTTGACTATGTTAAAATGAGGATGGCTAAAAAGAGAAAAATGTATACAACTTATTGTTAACTATAACAGCCACTAATAAAATCAAGGTAACAAACAGACTAAGCAAATATGGAATTAAAAGATCAGTTTGTACCTATAATAAGAAAACGCTATTAATTCAGTATCATTCTGTAGTAATCATTGGAGGGATGAGTTCAACACATACCAAACATGTGATTTTCTATGTTTATGCATTACTAGGAACATACTCTTCTACCATCATATTTATGTCTACGATACAAAATGCAAATGCTCATTAAATAAATTACGCTAATATGTTAACACCCAGAAATAATAGTCTCAGCAAAAAAATGGGTTATTTTTTTTAGAACCCAAAAAACGTTGTTTGAAAGGGATTTGAAAGCAAATTAATCAAATGGTCATGTATTAATCAAATGGTCATGTATGAATCAAATTAAAATCAGATTTAGGAATTAAATATAAAAGAAGAATGATAAAATTTTAATTTAATTATAAAAAAGTGTTAGTGGGCCGGCCCTTCAGGCCGAGCCGAGTTTGCCACCTTTAACTATCAGCATGCAATAGATTTTTATATTTATCCATACAAAAAATTCTTATCGTCACATTTAGGTTTTTATATTTTATCTCAGAGGTGGACTTTCATTTATTACAATCATATTTATAAAATAATAATAAATAATTATTTTTTGCAAGGATTTGTGTCGTTTGTATTTAAAAATTTACAAATTTGTATTTACAAAAATCAAAATAAGATTTAGGAATTTAATTATAAAAGAAGAATGATGAAATTTTAATTTAATTATAAAAATGTGTTGGTGGGTCAGCCCTCCTGGCCGAGCCCAATATGCCACCTCTAACTATTAGGATGTAATAAGTTTTTATATTTATCCACAAAAAAGGCTCTAATAGTTGCGTCTAGATTTTTATATTTTATCTCAAAGATAAAATTTTATTTATTACAATTAGATTTACAAAATAATAATAAATAATTATTTTTTGCAAGGATTTGTGTCATTATTATTTGGAATTTTATAAATTTATATTTACAAAATTGAAATCAGAATTAGGAATTTAATTATAAAAACGTGTTGGCAGGCGGGGCAGACAGACCCTCTGTGCCAAGCTCAGTATGCAACCTTAAACTATCAGCATCCTTATATTTTTTGTTTAATCTATAATTTTATATTAAAATTCAAGTTTCACATATATATATATATATATATATATATTTTTTTTTTCCATTACAGAAACATTAAATGCTGAACTCTTTTTTCACTTGTCAAATTCAAAAAATTAGAATTTTAAATGTTAAATAATTTTCCACCCAATAAACATAATAATGAATATTATTCATAGGTTTAATAATTTTTCATACATAAAGTAGTGAAAAAATGCACAGAAGGATGTGCACATTCTCCAAGTAATAATTTTTAGTTTTCATTTTCAATATAAGAAATTGTGTTTTTTTTTACTCTTACATCAAAAGAATGAAATCTTAATTTCTTTCTTATATATTAAATTAAAAATCGTATTGTTATAGTGATTAAATTATTTTATTTTTTACAGAATGATAAATGTCATTTTTTTTGTTTAAATTCTTTTATTTTCATTGTGCATATTTTTTTTTATATTTGTAACACAAATATGATGAAAAAACATGAGTTGATACAAAAAGTATTCTACTAAATCGAATGTTTGGGGAATTGAATTGAGTTGCATTTAATATAATCGAATATTTTTGTATTAATTAGACATATTTTTGAAAATTTTAAATTTTTTCTCTTTTAATTTATAATTTTTATACTTTTTAATATTGGTTATACATGTATATTTAAAACGTTTATGTTAAAAAAATACTTGTGTGGAAATATTTTTCAATTTTTGTATTTCGATTTAGTAAAATTTTAATTTATTTAAGTTATAAATATGTTATTTCTAATTTTTTCATTTAAATTTCAAATTTAAATTATTTTTTATCAACTATACATATTTTTTTATAAATTTTTGTTTAATCTATAATTTAACATATTAAATTTAATTTTACTATATTATATATATATATATATATATATATATATTCACTACAGAAACATTAATGCAGAATTCTTTTTCCACCTATCAGGTTAAAAATTCAAATTTAAAAAGTTTAAATTTTGAGATATTAAATATTTTTTCACCCAATAGACATAATAATAAATATTATTAATAGATTTAATAATTTTTCATACTAAAAGTAGTGGGAAACATGCATAGAAGCTTGTGTATATTCTCCATGAAATGATGGATTTTCCATTTTCAAATAATGTTGAAAATCATACAATTAAAAATGATAGTGGGACATTAATTTGATGTCTGCCACTAATACTTTAATTTCGATATTTAGTTTACTTAAATCTTAAATTTTAGTTATTTATTTATTTTCAAAATTGGCAAGCAAGTGAGAACACACAAAAGGCAGAAGATTAAGCGTTTGAACAGTTTGAAGGTTATAAGAAAATATCAAATGACGAGTTTTCCATTTTCAAGTAACATTAATAAAGAACCTTCCATCTTCTAATATAACAATTAAAAACCTTACAGTTCCAACGTAAAAATGATAGTGGGTCATTAATTAGATGTCTTCCACTAATTTCTTGATTTTTATTTTTGATTTAATTAAAAAAATTTAATGTAATTTTTTTAAAATTGACATGCAAGTGTGAACACAAAGCTGAAACTACATGATTATTTTAAGTTAAGGTATTAATTTACTTTATTTTAAAGTATATTTTTATAATTTTAAAGATATTTTTCGTTTAATTAATAATTTTTTATTAAAATTAAATTTATTTTATACATATCTTTTTTCCAATTTTATAATTAATTCTAATAGGTATAATAATTAAGACCAATAAACATAATAATAACTATCATTAATATGCTTAATAATTTCCCATGCAGAAAGTAATGAACAATTTTAAATGCTGAATCTTTTCTCACCTCTCAAGTTCAAAATTTAAATTTAGAAAGTTTAAATTTTAAGTATTAAATATTTTCCCTCCCAATAGACATAATAATAAATTAATAGACTTAACAATTTTCTATGCAAAAAAATAAAGGAAAACATGCATAGAAGTCTGTGCACATTTTCCAATCTCCAAGTAATAGTTTCTAGGTAATCATTCATGACATAAAAAATTGTGTTAATTACACTCTTACATCAAAAGAATGAAAGTTTGATTTCTTTCTAATATATTTAATTTTAAAATTTAAAATTCAACATGATAATAGAATTAATTATACATACTTTTGAAAAATAATTTTTTTCTCTTTTAATTTATATTGTATATATATATACATTTAAAATATTTATCTTAAGTATTTTTTAAAAAGTTTATTGTACGAATTTTGTTTTTCTTTTTGTATCATTATTTTTAGTTCATATTTTAATTTACTTTATTTTAAAGTATATTTTTAAAATTTTAAATATTTTTTTGTTTAATTAATAATTTTTTTATTTTATACATATCTTTTTTCCAGTTTTATAATTAATTCTAATAGGTATAATAATTAAGACCAATAGACATAATAATAACTATCATTAATATTCTTAATAATTTCCCAAGCAGAAAGTAGTGGGCAATATTAAATGCTGAAATTTTTTCTCACCTCTCAAGTTCAAAATTCAAATTTATAAAGTTTAAATTTTAAGTATTAAACATTTTCTCTCCCAATAGACATAATAATAAATTAATAGACTGAACAATTTTCTATGCAAAAAATAAAGGAAAACATGCATAGAAGTCTGAGCACATTTTCCAATCTCCAAATAATAGCTTCTAAGTAATGATTCGCGACATAGGAAATTGTGTTAATTACACTCTTACATCAAAAGAATAAAAGTTTGATTTATTTCTAATATATTTAATTTTAAAATTTAAAATTCAATATGATAATAGAATT